GTACACAACCATTTAAGCCCCAAAATCACATCAAACCCCTCATGGTATGCAATAAAAATCAGCTTGAAAGCTGTCATTTGCATCCACAAACTCTGCTGATTTACAAATACCTATGCTAGGCCATAGTTACATAAATTGCTCAATTGCCCACGATCTACGTACCGTACGCTGCGATACAAAAAGCGGTACGAACGTGTTCCAGTTCGTTTCAAAATCGCGATTCGGTACGACGATCCAAAATTGACTGTGGAAGGAGCTATTCATCGTCTTTTTTTCAATTTCGAAGGTATTAAGTGTGTGTGTGTGTTTATTTTGAAAGAAAGGAAAAGAAAAAACCGCAAACAAGATTCACCCAACAACCATTATTTAGCAAACAGAAATAAAAAAAATATGAGAGAAAAGAAAGAGAAAGGAAAAGAGAAAGATGAAAGCTTATCTGCTTTAGGCGTCAGAAAATTCGAAGGTCACCGCCGCATTCAAAAGGGGTTGAGAGGTAATTTCTTAGATCTAAGGTTTTTTTCTTGGTTTTTGGGGAAAAGGGTTCTAGATCCAAGTTTAGGAGGTTGAGAGGGTTGTTTTGGGCCTTTTATGTCAAGTTCCGGCCGTCGTGGATCACGCCGTTGAGTGGCGGTGCTCTTTCCGTCGATAGAGAATGCAGAGAACTCCCAAGTTCTGTTTTTCTGTTTTGTTGAACAAAATGAAGGCTTAGGCTTTTTTTGAAACCCAAAAAAGTGATTTATATTACTATGGATACAACATCTTTTAGAACCTGCGTCTAATAGGGGTCTAACCACGTAAAGGCTCCCTTTAGTTTCAAGTTGTTGTGTTTTGGTCCTTGCTTAGAGGTTCTGTAACTTTCCAATATGGTTCTTAAGTTTTACATGCATTTCATTTCGGTCCCAAGTTTATTTATTTATTTATGTTGTTTCAGGCATTTGACCTTCAAGTTTTGCATGTTCTATTTTAGTTATCTTTATACATTAGGTGGCAATATATACACACACTTAATACCTTCGAAATCGCATTCCGGATCGATCCGAAATGAGTCTACCCCCCTCGTACCGAATTTTAGGGACCTAGCGAATTGCGATCCCGTTCCCGTACCGGAGCGTACCGCGATCCATGTGACTATGTGCTAGGCACTCGTTCTACATTTGCCACACAAACTTGCAGCCCAGGTTTTTCCCATACTTCCAATCCCAACTTTGGCGTTGAAACTTCACTTAAGAAGTTGTGTACTGCCTGAATCGATGAGTACTGGTACTGTTACTCCCAAAACCATTGCTATCAATTGCATAGTAGGTGAGTTACGAGTACCGCTGATGGCATGTAAAGAAATTTCAAGATCATACACCACATCATTATCTTGGTCGCCTTCATAATCGGGTACTTAAATTTCAGAATATCCTCTTACATTTGCGACCCATGGAAAAGAACTCATCACAATTATAACACAACCCCTTAGCCCTTCTTTCCACCATTTTTCTGTGTCAATCTCTTGATAAAGGGCGCAAAAGAACCTACTTGCTGTTCCCCATTGGTTTCGTTGGTTGTCCCCCTCCCTTTGCATTCAAGTTCTCAGTCATTGGAATGATAGGATTGCTCCCAATGTTTTGGGAAGTTGGCCAGTTCTGGTTGGTTCGAGATGACATTTTTTAAGAGACTTTTTGTTTATGTTCCAATGCTCGAGTCATGTTCATTGCAACTCCAAGTTTTCCTGGCTGCTGCATCTCAATATCGATTCTTAGTTCCTCTACAGCGGTTTAAGATCAGAAGTCCTAGCCAATAATGATTGAAATTGGCTTTGATATTCTCTACAGTCCTGGTCTGTTTCAGGTTGGCAAGTTCCCCCAAGGGGTGATTACTTATAGGTGGCCCAAACAACATTCCTTGGAATGTCCCAATCAAGGCCCGCCTCTTATATTTTATCAAACCATAGTTGTTCCTCTCCTAAGAGAAGAAATGCTGCTAAGCCTACCTCATAAGCAGTGTTTAAAAAGGTGCAACTGAGGCGCGCCTAGGCGAGGCGAGGGTGAAGCGTCTAATTAGTTAGGCGAGGCACTTTCAATGAAGCGCAGCAAGGCGCGCCTAAGGCTCTAAGGCGAGGAGTTGCCTTTTCAAATATTTGTCTTTTTTTTGTTTTTTATTATGTTTTACATACCAACTTGTATATCAACAACAAAAAGGAGAGAATATGAAATTTCAGTTGGAGAAAAGAGTAAAACATGGTGAGGGTGATTACAAAAGAGAGTTTCATGGGAGACGTAAGAAAATTTGGCCTGAAATACAGATGAAGGTGGGTGCTTTACTTTATATAATTACTGTTTGTTTTGAAGTTTGAAAGAGAGAAACAAAGGGGGATGAATAGAGGCCATTTTTGGTGTTAAAAAAGAAGACTGAGCAGAGACTAAATGAGAGGCATGCATGCACGGATTGAGAATGAAGAAAAAGATAGGTTTCAGTGAATTTTGTTGCATAGTTATGGGTTCTTGAGCAGCACGTTTAACATATGGCGAAATTTGAGTCCATGAGAAAGAAATAAAAGCTTGGGAACAAATTTTAGAAATATGAAAAATGGAGGATTAGGGTGGATTTGGAGAAGTGGGGTTTACGGTGTAGGTGGTGTTAACAAGAATGAGACAGTAAGAAGCTGATGCCAACTCATTATTAGACTTATTTATTGTTTCAGTTTCTTATAAATTGTGGACCAAGGAAAGGGGGTTTGCTTGGGTTCTTCAATGGTGAATGGAACAAAAATGATGTTTAATACTTAAAATGCTGATAATAAATACACTTTGATGATCATATTACATGAAGTGTTATTTTTGTTTGATTATACAACTGGAAAAAATTTATATATCTTTTATTTTCGGAAAAGTGCTCCTCACTTCAATAAGGCATGCGCCTGGGCTATAAAACCTCTATCGCCTTAGTGCGCCTTGTGCCCTTTTTTATACTGTTCATAAGTGGGAAATTCCATCTTAGAGTATCGTGACAATATGGTCCTACCTTGTTGCTAGTCTAAATTCTCCTTTTTGCCTCCGCTGCTGTCTTGTCCCCAGACTAAAGTTATAAATGGAAACGGCAATAAAAATCTAATGTAATAGAGGAGTCGATGAAACTCTAATTTATTGCCTTCTCTGATATTGCTTTATAGTAAAAGCATCCAGTTCAGATTCTTTTGTCAGTTGTCTTACCTTGTTGCAATTATGGATTCTTCTCAGGTTGCCTTAGCAAAGCAGAGGGTTGATGAATGCATATATTCTCAGATGATGCAACAAGCTGGGACTCTTCCAGGGTAATTTTAACCACCATATTTAGTTTTTCATCTTGCCATTTGTTTGGAAATAGTCAATAATGCAGTTGCATTCTTTGACGTGAGAATCATTGAAACTCTGTTTCTGTATATCCTTGGTTGTGTATAGATTTAGTTTACTGTATCCATGCACACTAATGAAAATTGAGCGTTTATGATGATCACATCAGTGCTCAAGATGGGGTGTTAGGCTTTTAGCATATGTCATATATTATTGTTTGATAATCCATTCAGCTCCGAGTATTTCATCTGAGCATGATTTGAGTGGAGCCTATATCTAATTCATATATCTGGTTGGTCGTTTGAGGTATAATCCATCATGTTTATTAAACCGATGTGTCTTATTCATCATCATGCTTTACCTTAAGATGTATCCATTGATGACCAAGTCTCATCATGTAGAAGTTTGAAGATGGGGGCGATTTGTGCCCCTTGTTCTGGTTCTTCACCAAGCTAAACATATATGTATTTCTCTCAGTTTGCAGATGTAACAGAAGCCGCAACGAAATATCCTTCTGATCATATCAACAGTGGAAGGCCTGCTGTATTGGCTCAATGTGGTGTTGCACCTTCTGGCCTAGTAGCTAAGACTCCCAAGTCATTATGAAATGTTTCTAAATGGATAGACATGTGAATCGCCAAGTTTTTAGTTTGCTGTTTAAGCGTATGGGGCAGGCTTGTATTCTACTAATGATTGAAACTAGAGCAGTGCTTGAAGGTTGAAAAGATAACTAAATTGACGTTAACATGGTTAGAAAAATGGAATGCTTCATCATTTGCCTGATATGTTCGAAGCTGTAAACTTCATACATGGTTCGTTTAGTGTATTTTTTTTTGGTACGCATGTACGTAGTTTTTGTGCTTTACGAAGGGAATGCATCTGTTAAGTTCACGTGTGAACTGTGAATAAATTAAAGGGCTTAATTGAGGTACTAAAAGCATAGGGACAGGGACAGGGACAGGGACAGGGACGAAGCCAGAAATGGCCTAGTATAAAAAGTCGCACAAAAATGGTGGTTAAGTCTAAAAGAATTAAAATTGAGAGTCTAGATTCGTAAACACCCTACATATATTTTAATAAAATAAATTTTGGAGCAACCGTCTCCTAGGGTCTTACGTGAATTAATTAGTTAAGTAGAGTATTTATTATTTCATAAATTAGTAAAGCTAGAATTTCATCCAAAAAAAAAAGAAAAGGCAATTCTTTATAAAAAATAATATATTTTTAAATTTTTTAAGCCTATCCTTTTGATTAACATTTATTATTAAATTTAGTTATTTTTTTATCACTGATTCGGTATTATAAAATACATTTTTTATGGATTAATTCGTTTTTAATGAAATTTTAGAATTGTTTAGAATTTTGATAAAACATCTAATAGAGAATTATAATGTGTAATATTTCAAAAAAATATTAGTACCCAACACATTAAAAGTATCTTACTATTAAAATTTGTTAATGATTTGATTTTTCTGATTTGAGAGTTTAATTGATTTAATTTATAAATTTGAGGATTTCATTGTGTGTAGAAATACTTGATATAAGATTTTTTTCCTTTCAAAAAGTTTGAGGGTTAAGAGAGCAAAGAAAACGAGACAACGTACTAGATCAAACATGTAATAAAGCTTTTGGGTAGAAAAAAATAAGTATCAAGAAATGGCAGGGGGTGATTTGATAATTTGAGATTTTAGTCGCAACTGAGGATAACATAACATGAATGCCTTACGCGGCAAACGGCTACTCTAAGCCTGGAGAAGGAGCCATGCCCATCATTCTCTCAACTCCCCTTCTCTCCGAAACCTGGTTTATCTGTAAGTAGCCGACTTTCTCTTGCGTTTTCATCATCTTTATTGGAAAACTTGTCTGCAAAAGGCGGAATTGTTAATGTCCTTCTTCCAACAGCTTTTATGCTTTCCATTTTCTGGGTGTTTCTAATTCCACCTTTTAAAATATCCTTCGTTATTACTTCTTTCTCCATGAAAAATACTTTACCCATGTGATGTTTCCAATTTGGCCTTTTTTTATTGCAACCCTTAACCACAACTGCACAAAACAGATGATTTTATGTTAGGGTGCGAATTTAGTAACTTATATTATAAATTTAGAGTGTACACAATTACAACATTTTAGCTGTACAAAATTGGATTCTCGATAGAAAATACAAAGAAAATACCATATATGTGTCGGATGTATACTTGTATCCTACGTTCACACTCTAGTGTAAGTAACATATGAATATGGTGATGCCTTTCATTTCATCCTATTTTGAACTGTTATCTCCTATGGGTTTTGGCAATTCCTGCATTAAGGTGCTTGTATGTTTCATGAATTTCTTTTATCAATCAAGCAATGAACTCAGATGTGTCATATTTCTATACCTTTTCTATATCAGTATATCTTGTTCATACTTTTTGACATGTTACATTTCAGCACATTTCGGGGTAAGAAACTTTTCCACTCAAAGGAAAAAAAATGCAATTTTCTGCTCAAGTCATGGTTTAAACGATAATAGGTGAGGCAGCTGTTATAATCTCTTCCTTTCCTATGTTTTTAAAGGTTGCTTACGTCCTTATCTTGGTGCATCTTGTTTTGGGTTAGTGTTCGTCGGAAGGAAAACTCTAGTCGTAGGTTTCTTCTTTTTGTTTTAGTCTCATCAGGCTTGTCTCCGACCTTGACTTCTTCCGGAAAGACCAAGAGTAAGAACCCATATGACGAAAAACGCTTGCTAGAACAGAATAGACGGAGACAAAAAGAGAACAATGCTCCCGAAGACTTCCCGAATTTCATTAGAGAAGGTTTGTGTTGCAATGATAGGAAGTTCAAACCGTCTTGTGATATCTAGTAGGATGCACTCCATCTACAAATATTCACCCGTTTCCAAATTCAGGCTTTGAGGTTAAGGTTGTAACTTCGGAGGATTACAAAAAGAGTGATTCGGGGCTTAAATACCGGGATTACGAAGTTGGTAAAGGTGATTGCCCAAAGGCTGGGCAACAGGTTTTTTCTTTCGTTGTCTTTTACCAATCCGTTCCTTTCCATTATTTGCATTACTATAAATTTATTACTCGAATGAATCTTTATCAGCATGCACATGTTTTGTTTTGGCTGCATTTGTAGTAATCTTGTATCGTTAGGAGAATACTTCTCTCTAATATCATGATTAAGTCCACATTGAATTTCATAAGATATTCTTACTCTTTAAAGTCGGTTTTGCGGACTATTGAAGCTACATCATATATGATTGATATATCCATTTATGTTTCCTAACTACAAAAAGGCTTTCAGGTCACCTTTCACTATATTGGTTATAATGAGTCTGGCCGGCGCATTGATAGCACCTATATACAGGGTGCTCCTGCCAGAATCCGCGTGGGAACTAATGCAGTGGTTCCAGGTATAAATCTGGCTTAACATCCCCTGCAAAAGATAAGCAACGAACTGTATAAAGGAATATACACAAAGAAACAATTGAAATAGATGACATGTGCAGGATTTGAGGAAGGAATTCGGGACATGAGGCCAGGGGGAAAGAGAAGGATAATCATTCCTCCAGAGCTTGGACCACCGGTTAGTGATTCCTATGGCTAATTTTATTTCCTTTCAGCACGCTACCTTGTTTTCGGGTTTACTTTGTGTTTCTAATGTTGCCATAACCTTTGACCAGTACCAAGATTATTCATTCCATATGCTTCTGCAATTAGGTCAGGTTCGATATGAACATAAATTTTCTTTGTTGATTAGTAGACCGAAAGGAATCACTCCTCTAGATATTGAAAAAGGAAGGCAATTCCCTCGGCTCTTATCTCGACCAACATTCTGTACGATGTTTCTTGCTATTGATTGATTGAACATCAAACACCAACTGCTTCTCCAGTATGTTATGAAAACAATAGCGGAGTCAGCTGTGTAGGTTACTGTATTATGTTTGGATCATATTCTAAATAAGCTCGATAAAGCGAGGTCCTTTTCGAGGGTCTCGATCCATTTAAGTTAAATTAGTAGGAAGAATGACTGAAAATTAAGTTCTTGACACCTAAAAAACCGTCGAGAAAAGAAAACTGTAAGCAACAATGCTACTATAATGTTCATTTCCCACGTCTAGATTCCCTGTTTCTGCCATGGGTTAGATCAACTTCGATTAACTCGATTCGTCGGAAATCATGTTTCCCTTTGCAGGTGGGGCCTTCAACATTTTTCAGCTCGAAACAATTTGAAGTTTTTGATATAGAATTACTGGGCATACAAAACTGTCAAAGGAGAACCATAGCCTTTTATTCTGATGTTGTATGCAGTTGAACGATTGGGAACATGTAAGTCCTAAAAGGAAGCCCCACTTGAAAAGTTTATCATGTAATATATCATTTTTCTTCCTTCACAATAATCATATCCTTATATTTTTTATGATTGAATTGTATTTTTTTTATTTAGTCTAAAATACACAAATGATTCCCTACATTACTATTTTGTCGAGTACCTCGATTATTAAAAGTTATGAACTATGACATTGATTTGTTGGGTCCACTGATTATCGAAAGTTATAAATTTGTTATTTGATTATTCATATGTTCCAAATTCGTTTTTTTCTTGTCAAAAAGTGACGACAATATGAGTTGGACGTTAACGTATTGATTGTAATATAATAAAACATGATTCTAAAACATCAAACAACTATTATATCCTAATCAAGAGTTTAATGTTCATCTCAAATTGTCGTCAATTTTTTAATAGAGAAGACGCGTTTAGAATATATAAATAGTTAGAAGATTATTTTATAACGTTTAATAGTCATAAAATTCAACAAAATAACACTCTATAGTCGGGAACTGTTTTTTCAACAAAATAATATTTTATAGTCGGAAACTATTTTATAACTTTTAATTGTCATGGATTTAACAAAACAACGTCCTATAGTTGAAATCATTTTATAACTTTTATTAATTTATAAATTCAATAAAATAATACTTTATAATTGATAGTCGATAAATTATTTGTGTTCTTTATCTTTTTTAATCGAGTTAAATTTTCGAGTTCGTAAAACTAACGAGCTATTTTCAACAGTGAGGTAAAAGAGAACCTCTGGAAGTGCGTATGTATATTTGTTTTTTGTTTTGGGTCGAGAAAACAAATTCTTCCTCTTCTGTGTTTGTGTTTTGGGTTTGGGTTTTAGTTTGTTAGCATTTGGGTTTTCAATGGATCTGGAAATTTGTGTTATCGACCTTTCATGCAGAATGACGATGAATATCACAACCCAATAATCTTCATACAAATTTATTGTCTCTGTCGAATAAGACGCTTGACAAAATAATAAAGGAGTAGAGAGCAAACCAAATAATTTGACAAACTGTTTTGCTACACAATTCTGATTTCATTGGTAAACGACCTTTTACCAAAAGAGGGGATCTGACTATACGTGATCACCGACTAACCAATCAGAAAATAAATGTCATGATCGTTTTTGTGCGAGAACCAAAACGACCGCAAAGGTATGCGAAAAAAACATACCAAAAAATATGAGGATCGTGTCACAATAACAGATGAATCGCGTGTCACAATAGCAAAGAAAAATCATGTCACAAGGACAGAGATGCTTATTCAAAATTAAAAAGACTCAAGAAAAAAACATAAAGACTATAAAAAATAAAGAGAACTAATATTCCCCGTAGTTGACAACCAACATTAAAATTGATGTCACCAACAGCTAAACAAAGATCAAAGAGAAAGAAAAATGCGACACAAAAATATTAAAAGAAAACTAGGTTGAGAGAGAAGAGAGGAGGTGTTATTACTTTATTATATCTTATTTTTATGTCATTTTTTGTTTATAGTATATCTTTTAAAATAATTTCAGGTGATTATATGATAATATTTAATTAGCATTAATTTTAATTATAAATGATGCATATACATATGTAAATGTAATTGTTTAAATTTAGATATTTTAAGAAGAATAATATTTTTTATCAGTAATGTCACTCAATATATATATATATATATATATATATATATTTTGATGATTGGTATTAAGACTATTTTATAAGAAAAATATTCAATTAATCATTCTTTGTGAGAATGTGTGTATGAGCACTGAATCTACATATTAAGATATTACAATTTATATAATTATAAAGGAATTATTGTGGGATAATTTTTTAATTCAATTTTCTTTATTTATAATTTTTTTACAAAGACCACTAATTTTATCCAAAATATGAAATATCCAAATTACAATGAAAATTTATAATTATAACTGTAAATTGAACATATAATTATGACAATTTCCTATAAACATTGAAATAAAATTAACTTAATATCACATAAGGAACATACAAGAAAAATTAAAACCTAACCAATAAATACAAATAAAGATAGATACAAATAGGTCTGATCGTATCGTTAAAACAAATCACAAAAGGAAATTGATTTACTAATAGGTTATCGACAAACCACAAATCAAACTCGAGCGATGTGAAAAATTATCCACAAACACATAACGGATATCCAAATCCAATATGAGGGTAAAAGAATAGAAGAGCAACAATATACCAAATAAGTGTCATCTTGATTAGTCGTGACAATGTCAAATCAACCTTAGAAAAAGATAAGTGAAAACACCGAGCAAACGACCGAAAAACATTCCGTAAAGGCAAATGAAAACATGTCATAGTAACAAACTTATTAAAAAATAATAAAGAGTATTGAGGACCGACAATCAATATTAAGATTAGTGTCTCTGTCAATCAATAAAGATAAAAAGAAAAAGGGCCGAACGAGGTAAGCCAATCAAAAACTTGAGTAACGGAGGTCAACTATTTTTGTTCTAAAAATTTAAATGCTAGAAGGATCAAATTATAATTTTGGAAGGATAATGTTGGATCAAGTTTAGAGTAAAATATATTTTTGACCCGACCTAACACATAATAATATTGTAATCAAACTTTATATATTCAGAGATGATTGCTATAACATTCATATCTTTATATTTTTCAATTAGATCTTTTTTTATCTAATACAAAAGAGATTATATATACGAAGAAATGACAAGTGTGAGCATATTTTTATCTCAAAAATAAACTCAAATGAATCTTTTTGAAATTGAAATTGAATCAAATGATGGATGAAAAAAACACAATATAGTTAAATCAAGTTAGAATGAATGAAAAACTCAATCTAACCATCCATCTTACGTGTACTCAAAAATTGTCCTTTGTGCTAAAAACACTTGAAACAGTACCTAGGCAAACAAGTTTCGTAGGCTCAAGGTTTAGGGTTATCCATATACCGAGATGGCATGCATCTTTATCCTACACTCAAAGGGCACCAAATCCGGCTTTATGTTGTCTCATTGCCCTATCAAGATTCAAGACTAAATAATCAATGACTCAAAGACCCCCCCCCCCCCACATAAGTACATGTCTCCCTTTATCCCCCACCACCCCTCCCTTGTAAACACAGACAACAGCTTTCTCCCACTAATTAATCACATTTAATTAACCAACCCACCATTACTTATTATTTAACCTTTGCCACGAATCGCCCTTCTCTCATCCGAGCTTCATTCACCCGCCACTACACGAAAAAGCAACCCTTAAAATACTCCATTACCTATTATTTTTCCTTCCTTACTATTTTTCTTTTTGTTTGATCCGTGCTTTGTTTTGCTCCGCATAGATTTTCTGTTTTTATTCCTTTTTCTATTTTTCTTGTCTTGATCAAATAGTGAAGTGTTCGAGAACAATGGGTTGTGCGGCGTCGAAGCTGGACTATGAAGACATCGTACGGCGGTGCAGGGAGCGGCGTCACCTGATGAAGGAAGCCGTCCACGCTCGACACCGCTTAACCTCCGCTCACGCCGACTACTGTCGCTCTCTTCGTGTCACAGGCCCAGCTCTCGCTTCCTTCGCAGCCGGTGAGCCTCTTTCCGTCTCCGACGAAACCCCCGCAGTTCTTCTTCGACCATCTCCTCCACCAGCCAATCCCACCCCTCTAAGTGTCCCTCATTCCCCTTCCCCTTCCCCTTATGTGGCTCCCAATTGTCGCCGGTCACGTAAGTTACCACCGAAACTCCCCCACATTTTGTCGGATTCGAGTCTTTCTTCTTCTCCCCTAAGCTCGAAATCCGGTTTTTCCAACTATTTTTACCCGACGGCATATCAAGCTAATTCAACGTACTCAGCCACTCCTTCCCAAGTTTCTTCTGTTTGTAACTGGGAAAATTTCTACCCTCCTTCCCCGCCGGACTCCGAATTCTTTGACCAAAAAGCAAAACAACGAAAGCAACAACAACTAATCCAGCAGCGTCCTCGAAATCTACATTCTAACTACCCTGAAGAGACGGAAGATACCAAAACGGAAAAATCAGGATACGATTTCTTCCGTCCAGAAAAACCGAACCACCATTACAATATCAATACCGCCAGTATGAGTGGTAGAACTTCCTTTCTATTTTCCGGAGTGTGATGCCTTTTTCTCATCCTCCGGCTTATTATCCATTTTATACCCCGCAGCAGCCCCGTACATCGGATGCCGTGGTGGCGGCTGCACTGGCGGAGGAGTCCGATGGAGATGATGCAATATGGTTGGTATACCTGATTCAGGACCAGATCATGGTCTGGTTCTGGATGTTCGAGACCCCTTGCCGAAAAGAAATCAGAGTTTGCAGCCTGCCAGAGGAGGGTGGAAGATGAAATTCTGAGGCATGCTAAGGCAGTAGAGGTGACTAGATCAAATACTTTGAATAATCTGCAAACAGGCTTGCCAGAGGTTTTTTGAGCATTAACAAGCTTTTCTGCAGTATCTATAGAGGCACTCAACTCGGTATGCTCGCGTTCCTATCATATCAAATAGATGAATACGATAGAATCAATAGGTGAAAGCTATTAGTTTGTTGCTTTTCAGCAAATATGTGAAAGCTCAAATGCATGTTTACAACTTTGTAGAATCAATAGGCATACTACAATTCTGATTGCTGGGTTGTTTGCTTTCTAAGAGGCAATTATTCTCATAGAGAACAATTAGTTCTGGCCATGACCATGCCATTGCCTCAACTGTATCTGTTTTAAGGTTCACGTTCGGAGTTCAGGACCCACCCATCAGAAGTCCTAACAATGTTGTCACCAAGGTGAGAATTCAGCCCCCCAAATGTGCCCACAGCACCAGGCACTAGTTGGTACATTTCCCCAATTGTTAGGCTTTGCCAATGATCAACATATAACAGGCTTTGCCAACAGGTTTTATGGGCAACCAAAATAAAATCAAAAACCTAATTGTAAAGTTAAATTCTTAAAGATTCCTAGTTCTGGTTCTCATGCACACAGGCTTAATAATTTTCATGCTGATTTAAAGCTTAGAAGTATAAAAGAGGACCAACTGCATTCCTATATCATACAATTTAGTCATTAACCATAGGATAATTTATATTCAAAATCTACATCCAAGATTCAGCAGATGATATATATAACTCCAAAATGATGATAACTGGGAATCAGTTCATACATACATGCATACGTAGTGTACTATTAAGCAAATTAGCTTCTGAAGAACTTCAACTTTCCCCCCACTTTGAACCCAAACATGCCCTTTCAATGAGTGGCAGCCTCATCGAGGCCAATACTTTGAGTACAGAAAGCGTGAGTCTTACTAAGGCGTTGTTCTGAGCATTGGTTGTGGTTAAACGGCGGACCATCTCCTCGTTCCCAAAGGCAGCCGGACCACTTGATGTTGACGGGTTCTCAGTCGCTCGGAAACCAAATTGGACGCCCCGGATCTTACCATATTCTGAATTCGACCCCTCCAGATTCTGATCACAGCACCCGAATACATGCCGTTCAGGTCTGGGTTCCCGGGTAAGTACTTGAAGGTGAATTCCAGTGCGACGGCACAAAAAGCTTCCGTCAGGCGTTCGATCATCTCCAGAGAGTCGAGTAATTTCTTGGGAACCTCACCGGCGATGATTTCTCTTTGGATGGAACGGTGTAGAACTGCTTTCTTCAACCGAGGACGGGGGTTTAGAGGCGGGAAAGCTTGGATGAGTTTCTTCACCAACAGTTCGTCGGCTGATTTCCGGAAAAGGAATTCGATTACGCAACAGCAGACATCTGGGTTCAATTCTCCTTCCACCGGAATTAGAGTTCGAAACCCTAATTCTCGGCTGAGATTTTAAGAGAAACAGGCGGGACGGGAATGGCTGTAGAATACTGAATCCACCAACCCTACAAACCGATCCTTATTTGTTCCTTCATTCTCTGATTTCAGTTTTTAAGGTCTAATTTAATTTTGGCCCTTCTATTATGTTCAAAGTAAAATGTAAACTTTTATATTTTAATTTGATATAATTTAATCTCAACTTTTATTTTGAATTGCATCGATGGTCATTGGCATTATTAGGTAAAATAAAGACCTAAATGAAAAATATAGATGGAGGAATATTATAACAATTATCTCTAGATATTATAACAAATATATTAAATCCGAATTTTCAAAAAGAAAAAGTTACCTATAAAATTAGGTTAGATCGAAAATCGTCGAATTAGATTCAAATGCACATATCAAATCTATTTAGAGGAAAACTATTATTAAAAGATCGACCAACAAGAAGTAAAACTTAAAAATCAAGCATACAGTCATATTAAACTTTCACTATTTTATACATAAACCATACATTCATTTTCACTATTTATATAACAAATAAACTCCTAATCCATTTTCTTTTTAAAATCCAACACAAAAGAACCTTTCACTTGCCATACTTTGCCCCATAACCCATACAAAGCAACAACTTGGGTCTATATCGTACAAGCGTCGTTAAGGTCACTTGGGACACATTCTTTTCCTCCCTGTGGGGGGTTATTCCCATGGCCTTCAAGCTAAACTTCCTCTTAAGTTTTGGCCTTGTTTCTGTTCCATTTCCATGGCATTTACCCTTGTTTTCATTGCTCATCGCTCTCATGGAACCACTCCTAAACAAAAGGTTCTTCATTTTCTGACCCTTACTCTGCTTTCCACTTTCTCCACCCTCCATTGTTGAATCTTCATTCCCAGCTTTCACAAAAGCTACACCTTTGGGCTCCACTGCTTCATTGTTCCCCATCTTCTTGTTTGAGTTCGAATCCGATTGTTTCGTCGGTAATTCCCATCTCATTGAACTGCTGCTGGTTCGAGACTAACATGCCATTGGTTTCTTTTGGTGTTGTCGTTATCTCCCTGAACGGAGACAGAGACCGGGATCGTCTATGGGTTTTGGCTTCCTTGACGTTCTTCAAAGCCGCCATGAACGGATCGAAGTCGTCATTCCACAAGCTCCTACGTTGAAACGAAAGTCTCAGGCCACCACTAGGTGACCTAGGGGACGATAAGATCGAGCTTTGCTTATGATATTGAAGTCTCGGCGGAGGCTTCAATGGCATCACTTTCCCATCACAGAACAGCTCATCAGCATATGACATGGCAGGAAGTGATTGTTTCGGTTTCTCCGGTCGGGACTCGGACTTCCTCTTCGACTCAACCTTGTGCCCATCAACGTCGAAACGATGACTAGTATCGAACTCAAACTCGTCACCATCATTGTAGCTTGAATCTTCAGTCCTATTAGGACTTGTTGGGACACTAAAGAGACACAAACCTCCCACTTCCATGCTGATTCTCCTCGGGCTAATAGGAGCACTCATAGAGAAAGTATCATTTGGTGTTCGTGGTGTCATTTGGCTCAAATTTTGAAAATTGAAACCCAATTCTTTTGCTTCTGATTTGAAGGAGAAACCCCATATTATAGGAGAAATTCCTGGTTTATTTCCCCTCCAACAATAGCTAAAGATTGCATTCAAAAGGGGACTTATTTATTGTCAAGAAGCTGTCAGTACGACTAATAGTTTATCATTTTGTAAAGAACTATGCTCGAGCTTGTTGTGTCTGCGAATGATACAAGACCAGATAGTTGCCTTGGAGCATATACAGCAAAGATACCTGGCTTTGTAATTTCTAAACAATTAATGCTACTCCGTGCTTGTCTGCAAGATATTGTCCGCTTCCACACTTTGTACTTTACTATTTTCAGTACCTCTAGACTCCACCGGAGTGTGATATTGAAGACGACTACATCAAGGTCTCCGGCTGTGCCTCAGCTACTTCATTTATCAACATATCATGTCTAGTAGCTTCTGCAATAACCACCAAATACATCCTGCATATGCAATTCCAACATGATTCTGCTTTGAAAAATGCTGGATTGGAGAGAAGAGTTCGGGTCTGAACCGCGTGACATGTGTAAAAACGACACCATGAAATAATAACCAAGAAACCATAAGACTTACGGCTTGGCTCAGGATACATATGCTAGTGTGAATTTGCAATGTCTGCTTCCCCTGTTCTGCAGGAGAACACTTGACTGCTGGAAGCTTGGATAATGTCAAGGAACAGTTACTAGAAAAGAATGGTTGAACCGTGAAAATAAGGAAATGCAGTATTCTTACGAGCATCGAATTCGACAGCAATTCTTCCTGCAATTATAGTTAATGGTCCGACCAAGTCGGCACATGACCAAACAAGATCTAAACTACACAGTCCAATTTTGGCACAAAGCAGAACACACTTCTGCTAAGATAGACAACATACAGTACAAGCTGACTGCAAATCGAAGTTATAGCAAGAAACAGATTGAATAGGACGATAGCGTTAAGACCTGCTGCAGAGCATGCCAGTAATCCTGCAAAAGTAGAGGCAATGGATTAGGGAACTAACAGACTACATGATATCACCTTCCATTGAAATTGACAAGAACTAAATTGCTCTTTCTTTTTTCTTTCTTTTGAAAGGAACTAATTTGACTAATTTCTAATTGAGAGGGACCTAAGAGATATTTTACCAAAAGAAAGTATGTGGAAACTCTTGTCATTGATGATGAAGGATTCGTCCATCCATACTATATCTTCTTCTTCTTGGTTGCTTCAATTCTCTTGCAGTTTTTCTGGGGAAACTTTCTAAAATCAGCTCCTTTGAAATAAGTTTGCCCATCACCTCCAATGTATTACACCCGTTGGATAAAAAAGAAAATGATCTAAACCGTTGATAAGAAAAAAAACCTAAAGGTTAAAGAAGTTCGATAAAAGAAAAGGGGTTTCTCCCATTCTCTTCACGAAAGCTGAAAGGTTCAAGCTTTCTCCTCTTCAAACTAGAATTTTTCAACTATGTTTGTTAAGAATTCTTTTTTAGTAAAGGGGTCTTTTTTGAGACGCTTTTCGTCATTATCATCGTCTTCCTCAAGCATGCTTAAAATCGGAGATGTTTTAAGACAGATAAGAACATTTTCAAATGAAGATGTTAGTGAGTATTCTAAAGTGAGTCGTGATGTAAATCCTTTGCACTTCGATTCTGAATCTGCTCGAGCTGCTGGGTTTGAAGATCGGCTTGTTCATGGCTTGCTTGTTGCTTCATTGTTCCCTCGTATTATTTCCTCTCACTTTGTAAGTAGCGTTTACCTTTTTTTTCTTAATTTTGGCACTGCAGATGCTTGATAAAATGCTTCAACCAGAATCATAATGAATTTTTCCCTGAGTTCCTCAGTTATTTATCTGAAGAATTTTTTCGACATTGACTGGTTGTCTTGGATCATCCTGCTAATAGATTTATGAAAAATCCTTACATTATGACTTGAGAATGCCTCACGATTGTATCCTAGCAGAGTCACTGATTATCTTGGCCTGGACCAATTAACTTGGCAGTGTGCACTTATAGCGTTTCCACTCCTATGGTTGGTAGCCCTTTCCACGACTTGGTCCATCTCCAATGAGCACAATTTTCGATCACCTAACTCCAAGCATTCCCTTTTCATGAACCATCCATATCCCTCAATCGGCAGTCTTTGATATTTCAATCTCTTCAATCCTCTAGCTCTGATTCTTCAGTATCCTAAATTGTTCTGCTTTGACACCACTTGGTTGGAGATTGGTGAGTGAAACAAAAATGTTTTTCTTGCATACATTCTACTCTTGTTACTCGCACTTACGTTTTGAGCTCATTCCTCATCGGTTACTTCACTCCACACACAGCACGCCAAAATGAAGAGCTCTATTTTGTAGGTTCTTAGATCGATGTTGGAACCGACTCAGATCACACTCTTAAGCACTACCTACTCATGTTACTCACAGTTACACTTTGTACTCATTCCTTATTGATTACTTCACACACAGCACAATAAAATGACAAGCTTTATTTATAGATTTTTAGACCGATGTTGTAATCAACAGAGATCATTCTATATGTAGGTTAAAATATAACCTAAAGAGAGCTAGTGGAAGAGAATGGTTGGCATTTTAAACACTCCTACGCAATAGCTACTCTCCTGATGTTGGTTTGGTAATCATGCCGAGCTGCATCATTAAGCCCTTTTGGTGTGCAAGTCAGTTATTTGTTCAACTTCATGTTGAGCCGCTTTTTCCTTGTTTGAAATGAGTGCATTTTCTGCATATTTGGATCCGAATTGTATCATGAACAGATCGATCTGCATATTTGGATCCGAATTGTATCATGAACAGATCGATCCGAATTGTATCATCCGGGCTCTCACAGCTCTATATTATGCTGCGTTTTCGTTGTTTCATTCAGTAAAATGTTAATATGGGAATGAAACTAAACTGTTTTTGAGTATTTGAAATTGTTGTTTAGCCTGGAGCTATATATGTTTCACAAAGCTTGCACTTCAGGTCTCCAATTTATATTGGAGATGAAGTTGTGGGTGAGGTACAAGCTATCAATATTAAAACAAAGCAAGAAGAGATACATGTAAGTGTTCGACTCAATCGATTAACTCGAAAATTTTCAAACAAACCGTAGCGTTTGACCGAATTTTTTCGTGGTTCAGATCAAAACTATCAACAAAGTGCTTCAAGAATGGAGGACTTCTTGTCATTGATGGTGATGCCATGGCAATTTTACCAACTCTAGCTATGAAACAAGTTAATGCCCATGCAGGGACAGAACCACATTGATGGTTCCCATTGTTTTGACCGGCCCTTTTTTTTGGGTTTAATTTGTTTGTTAGGGTTTGTCAATTTTGAGACTAGTTAAATTGAACCTTTCCCCCAACTTTTTTTGGTTTACTTGTTTTTTTAGGTCCCTGTAGTTTTAAGATTAGTCAAATTAAGCCTTAGTCTCTATTTTTAGTTTAAATATTTTTTAACTCCTTGTCAATTTGATGTTAAGCAATTTAGCCCTATAATTTTATAGTTTCGTCCTTGTACCCATAACGGTAGAAGAAACTTGTGAGTCATGGATTCATTACAATTTGATTTGGTGGTATTGAGTTCGTTTTCTGTACACTTGCAGAAAGATTATATTTAGGAAGCAAAGTTAATGAGTTGCTGAAAATTAATTTTCTTCTTGGTATACATATCAACCTTTTAAGTCTCAAGGGTGCTTGAAGAATTAAGCCTTTGAGTCTTTTTTTTTCCCATTGAATTGAGAAATTAAATCAATTAAATTCTTGAATTCATTGATTAGTTTCAGTATTAAAGAGATTTTTTTTTCTAAGATGACTTAAGTTTGAGAAATTGATTGAGACGGTGTATGTGTATTCTCAATTGATTAATTTTTTTTTAATAATTACTGTTTTATAATCTTTTCGGACTATTCAAAAATATCAATTGAATTGTTTGATAAATATTAACCATTAAATTATAATGATTTTCCCGAGACATTGTTGTCCTAAGTGGCAGTGTGAAAATATAATGATGTGATGTGATATAGAGGTATCAATCAAGTCTTTCAGGTCGGACTATTTTGGATTTGAATTGTATTTTGTTTATGTTGGATTTGGGTTAGATCAAATTTTGTTTAGATTTAATTTAAGTTAGGGTAAGTCAAGTCTAGTTGTGTATTGGGTCGGATGGTTAATTTTTTAGTCAAATCGATATTAGATTCATCGATTTTTAATTAGGATAATGTATCGATCCGTTTTTAAGTTTGGTCAATTTTTAGATCTTCAAATTAATTCAAGTTGAGTTGATAAGCCTAATTTAATATGTATATAATTATTAATATATTCTTATAAAGAAAACTTGGCATTTCATTTGTCCACATATGATTTAGACTCAATTTCAACTTCTAATTATTCAATGTTTTGAATTCAGTCATTATTTATAGATAATTTAATCTGAATTTTATTTTATAAGGGTGTTAGAATTTGTAATTTGAATTCGTATCGATTCAATTTGAAAATATATTATACAATGAAGAAAAATAGAGACAGAGATCTTACATAAAATACGAACTAATTGCCATCGATATAACAAATATTTTATTATAAATAAAAATATTAGCAACAACATGTACGATGCCTAACTAATTAGATAAAAGAAATAGATAATTTTAATCATTTATTTACACATTTATTCAATAATTTTAATTTAATATACACATTTCTAATTTTTAGAGCGTATAGTTAAATCTTATTTGTTTATATATACACTTATAATTGTTATCTACAAAGTTCCTAATTTTTCCCGACAGTGTTAGCATAAAACTCTACTGGCAGTGGCTCGAAAGGGACAATTTGAACTAACGAAACCATTTACTAATTCCAGATATGTGCCGAGTTCGTGACATGCAACCACGCCTCCTTTGCTCAAGTGTGGGCACTGTCTGCTGCTCAGTCTTAGCTCCTGCCCTACGTCGGCGTAAACTAGTTGCGTGTTTTCTACGCGCCTCTGAACCCAGCTCGATAGCCCCGCGGCATTGACCATCGTGTCATTGTCATTGATCACGAAGCCTGGTAATTTCGTGATAAGATCATCGGAGTTTACTATACGTAGAATCTTGGTCCCGTTTTGTTCTAGTTGGCATCTGAAGCTTTGGTTTCCCACCCGGGGTCCGCCGAACGATATGACGGTAACCGGCGGTGCATTGTTAAAGCTGGTGTTTATGTCGTACGCAGCGAGTATAGCTAGAGCCGCGCCGAGGCTGTGGCCGGTGATGGTCAGGCTTAAGGGCTCGTCTTCGTACATTTCGAGTACTCTCTCGATCTCTTCCCTCACCATTTGCTGCAAGCTAGGACACGTGGCGTTCCCGGAAGTGTAGAGGCTCAAGAACCCACTCTCCACCATGGCCCCACCGCCTCGACCACCCACATCGGTTAACGTTGCGCGTAGATTCTCGAGCCACTCTAAGCACGTGGCGGTACCCCGGAATGCAATCGTCACGTCGCGCCTGCCGATCCTAGCGATCTCATCCTTGTCTTGACACACCGCCACGTAACCGATCCAGCTCGACCGAGTGGAAACCCAGCTCGGACTTCGATCAACCCAACCCGGCAACTGAATCCCGCACGTCGCACGCAAGTTCTTGGTCGGTTTATAACCAGTCTCTATAATGCAACACCGAGTCAGCAACGAGTTCTTGGTGAACTTACACGACCCAAAAGTCGGCGAAGAGGCTTCGAAATCAAAAGCACGGTACGCCGCTTCAACGAACTGACCGTACCTCAGAATCTCACTCCGTAGAACATCATCAAGCGGATCGAGCAAGCCTTCCCAGTTATTGATCCCTTGATACTCCATCCAATTCTTGGCGAGTTTATCCGAGTTAGAACGAGTCAAATGATTCCACCAAAGCTCTTGATTCTCACGAGTAATGAGCTTGAGAGGAGCAATGGCGGGAGAGGGAAAAGACGACAGAGTCTGAGTGAGTTTTGGAGTAGGAGGCGAAGTGAATGGGTTGAAAGTAACGGCAATGTCAGAAACTCTCATACTGGACAAAAAAAGCTTAATGTTTCTGCTTGCTCTGGGTCAATGAAGAATTGAAACAACGGTGGGTTTTTATAGGAGGAGGAGAGGGTGGTGGACGGCGGTGGTTGAATTGAAGCATGAAATTTTTTTTCATGGTGAAGGACGGAGAAGGAGAGAGAGTGAAGGTGGGGTAGGCCGGGAGTCTTCATGGGATAAACTTAACAGGTGAAAATTGAAAAATAACAGGAAAAAACGGCCCTGGGGTCCAATTGAGTGTGATAATGATTGGAATTTGGAGGAGATATGGCACATCCATTCCAATTTGTAAATATAAATGAAAATTTGATGAATATTTTAATTGGGACCCACACCCTAAGATATTGGAAAATGACTATCTTCCTCTTTCCGACCATGAGAGTTTTTTTTTTTTTTTGACTCGTTCTGCCCGCGTGGATTTCATACCGATAACATGCCATTTAATTGCTTTACGAATGCAAGTACTTGGGTTGGATCGTCATCCACATGATGATGGATTTTTATAAATTCCAAATTTAATTCTAATTTTTTTTAGAGAAAACAACAAAAGGCATAAGATAATATTTTAAGAGAAGTAAATGGAATGCTTCTGGTGAATTAGAAGGGATTAAATTGAATTAATAAAGAAAAGTGGAATTAAAACTACAATATACCCAAATTACAATACATGCTATTTTAAATAACATCGTTTTTAAATTTAAAAAATCCTTTAAAAATGAATGCATTAAATGATCTTAACGACGAAAAATAATATTATTTTTATAAAGATCTAAAGTTCAAGTATATGCATATGTAGATATACATTGTCAATGATTTTTTTTTTATAAAAGTTATCCGCACTGATTACTCCTTGTTAATCGCAGCCATATGCTATCGTCTATCGAATGATATTGATAAAGACAAAATGCTTCTAAAAATTATTGGGATACATGTCCCAATGTCCTATACTCGAATTTGGAGTCGGTTTTGCTTGGAATTGTCCCAAATAGAGTAGATCTATGTTATAAGTTTTAGCTTTTTCCTTTTCGATCTCTCTGAAAAAGATGTTCGATCTGCCTGAGTTTCAAATTAAATTTTCTTTTTGAGAGCGCAATATGCCTTACTGCTACACCCAATATTTGCATGGTTATTTTTAAAGCTAAAGCTTGAGCCTTTCTAATTGTCTATTGATCATAATGTTAATAGAACAATGAAGATCCACATTATCATTCTAATGCAGAGAAGTATTAAAAAAATTACTAACGATGTTATAAAAGTAAAAGAATTAAAGCATAATAAATATAAGAGAAAATAACATCAGTGACCAAAAATGCCTTATAATATACGATTTTAACCAATTTTTTTTGGATTTGCCAAAATGACTAACAAAATCGCAATGCGATCGCTAATTCGCAACGCGATCTCAGGTATCGCAAATCAGTCTCCAAGTTCGTTGCGATAGTCTCCAACTTTGTTATTGCATTTGTTTCTTAAGAATTTTCTCTAAAAAGATAGTATTCGAGCAGACGTGTCGAAGACACGTATTACCACGACCACGACCACGACCCGAGACGAGACGGCGGCGGCGGCGCGCGAGAGTCCCCTTGTTCTCTATCACTTAACAAGGAAGTGGGAAAGCCAAGCCTTAAATACCATTCCCAATAGTGTTTCCAATACTATGTGGGATTGAGCATTACCAACACTTGTTCCCAATAGTGTTTCCGGATACACTTTAAGTTCAATTATAATCAACATTTACTACTTGCTCGAAATACCGAGCAGAGTAGACAATATCGTGATGAATTGTTTTGTTAAGTTGGTAAAGCATGTTCTTGGATTACGAGAGGCTTATTGTAAATGTAAACCAAAAATTTCTTATGTTTCTTCATAATTTAAAGTGCTAGTGAATTTTCAATCCCACATAGTATTGGAAACATTATTGGGAATGATATTTAAGGTTTGGCTTTCCCACTTCCTTGTTGAGTGATAGAGAACAAGGGGGACTCTCGCGCGCCTCCGCCGCCCCGTCTCGTGGTCGTGGTAATACGTGTCTTCGACACGTCCGCTCGAATACTATTTTTTTTAGAGAAAATTCTTAAGAAACAAATGCAATACCACCAGTCGTTGTGATTTTGTATTATCGCAATGAATTTGGAGACTATCGCAACGAACTTGGAGACTATTGCAACGAATTATGTAAATCGCAATGTGATAGTCGAAGTTCGCATTGCGAATCTGGAAACTGATTTGCGATACCTGAGATCGCGTTACGAATTAACGATCGTATTGCGATTTTGTTGGTCATTTTGGCAAATCTAAAAAACGTTGGTTAAAATCGTATATTATAAGGCATTTTTGGTCACTGAGGTTATTTTCTCTAAATATAAATCACAAAGTGGAATATCAAATTCTAGTATCAAGAGATTAAACCCTTTTATTTAAAATTAAAAATCCCTATCATTTATCATTAAAATTATTCTTTAAGAAGAAATGTCATCGTTTATCGTTAAGATTATACGGCTAAACACATATATATCCCCAAGGATAAAACCATAATCATTCGTTGCACGTTCACAAGCAAAAAAAGAATCCACAAAAGTTGGACAGAAGCACAAATAAATGCATTGAATGATTATGTCATAGTATAGTATAAATTGAAGGATCAGGTCCGATTAGATGGCGATGCAGCTATGCATTAACCTTATGTTAATTTCGTCCAACAAAATTAAATAATGGCCGTTGACTCTTCGACGGTACTCTCAGTTGAATATTATGTTATATAAATATGCAAAGAGTTCGTTACACAGGATTCGGAGCCACAACATGATGAGCTTTCATGACTGGTAAACATCAAATCACCCGTCCTTAGAGTTTGGCCTCAGTCAGGAAACATGTGGCTTTATATGAGGTAAATTTATAAAATTTTAAAAGATAATTTTTAATAAATAATATAAAATATTTAAAATATATAAAAATTAATTTTTTTTAAAGTGACAACTTACCTATTTTCCCTCAATTCATCACTGGCCTAATTACCAATCTCCCCGTCTATTCTATTTTCACGGATGGCTGAAAAATATCACCTCTATGAAACCTCCCTTCTTAGAAAAAATAGTCATATTGTTTGTCAAAATTAAAAATATATATGTAGATAAAATACATCTAAAGTTATTTAATTATATATTTGATAACGAATGAATCATTTAAAAAATATTATTTAATTAAAATATTATTATATTATTGACCATTAAAATCAAAACAATGTTTAATATGAGTTTTATACAATACTAACATTAGTATTTAAAATTTTTATATTCTATTTATTTAGTCTTAATTCAAAACAATTCAATAAATTTAATTTCTCGTATTTAAAAATCCTACTAACTTTTTTGATACTGTTAAATCAAGCAAATTTGTCAGATTAAAACAACGGTTAGATAATTGTATTCTATCATAAAAAAATAATAAATTACTGTTAAATTATTATTATATCAAGAATGTAACAAAAAATAATACTCCATCCATATCATAATTCGTATCTTATATTGACTATGCACATAATTTTAGGAGATATGTACGAACCAACTTACATTAATGGTTAAATGAATTGTTGTTGTTTTTAAAGGTCACGGGTTCGAACACCAACGACTGCAGCAGGGTAATTGAACATTTATTGACAAATGATTGAGATTATTTAGAAAAACAGTAGATATATTTGACTAAAGAAAATGATAAAATTATCCTAAAAATGAATAATAGATTTTTTTTAATATATGTAAAAGCGTTAGTCATATTAAATAGATAAATTTTTTAAATATATGTTAACTTTTGCTCATAAAACCAACTCCACTATTTAATTTTCACCATCCTAATACACTAACAAAATGAATCGTTAAATTAATTAAAATATTTTAAATTAATGATATAATATATATAAATTTTAAAGATTAAAAATAATATTATATAAAATCACATTATTATTCCGTTTAAATCATTTAACGGTCGTCTATTATATGAGATTATGAGGGGGGGGGGAACAATTGAGGTGTAAAAAGATATTTAGTTCATGAGATATTGAATACGTTAAGCCTTTGTGTTTTTGATGTTTTAAATTAACATGCAATAGTTTTATATAAAATAACTGTATTTTCTGAAAACTAGATGTCAAAAAATTCATGTTAATTGCAATGTGAGTACCATATTCCTCTTGAAGTTAGATAAGATCTATTCAAAGATTGTGCCAAATCCAAATAATAATTTGATTTGCTTCTAAAATGTGAAGTAGTCAAGTTTATTATTTGATTGGAATAGAATTCATGGGACAAATGAAAACCTTAAAATTAGATGGATATGGTTGCAACAACATATAAGGAAAAGGCGGATCTTCTCTCTTTTTGTGTACGTCGTCATCCAATTTTTTTGTTTTGAAAAGGGACACTTTGTATATATGGAATTGAATACAAAGTGCTCCACCCGAAGGGTCTCGTTAAAAAACATCCTAAACCTAAATGGAGGAAAAAGAGTACACTTTGCAGTGGGTTAGAATCGAACTTCATAAGAAAAACAAATGGAAATAACTAGTACAACATCAAGGAGCACACGAACCCCGCCCCACCAAGCTTATATCCTACATTTAGAAGCATTAAAACAGAACCAAAAATGGAAGGACAATGGAAATGCACAGATAAAACAAGATCAGAACATCGATAGCGAAAGGGAGCGAGCAAACTCCTAACACCAAGTGAAAAACCTAAGCCAACAAAACTGAAAAAGACTCAGGCAACCACCAGAAATGTTGCGTGGAAAATCGACTTGATCCAAGAACCACCTTCATCTAACACATAAGATAACAGATTCAGGGCATCTAACAAAATCTTGAACATATAAATCAACATCGACCATAAGCTATTAGCCTAAACCCCAAACTTAAATAAGGCTAGATCAAACATTTTTCCATTGACAATAAACACCCATTAAATCTAGCATTATTTCTGCAAATCCAAATATTTCAAATAAGACCAAAAAACCCCAAATTCCATAAGGAACGAAGCTTCCATCTTACCTTTTGATTTCACCACACCCCAAGCAACGCTTTCACATTTGTGGGAAATACAATTTTGGTCTTCCACACACTGCACCATCGCTGCCAAACTTGTCATACAACGTCACAAAACATGATTGATCTATTCCTGTTCTCTTTTGCATAATACACAAAGGGAATTATCCTTACATAAAATTCCACGCTTGTCCAACTCTATAATGATTGACAATCTTTTATGGACAACTTTCCACACAAAGACAACAACTTTAGGAGGAGCATATTTTGACCATACCATTTTTCAGAGAGGGTCCTTCACCATACCAGCACAAGCTACATGCGAACAATAAATTTTGGGCTTGTAAACCCCATCAGAAGCGCCAAGCCATTTTAGTCTATCCACATCAAGGGCATAACTGACAACTCTATTTAACACCTGGAGAAAATCATTCCATAAAACCACCTCCCAATCAAAAAGTGTTCTCCTTAACTCAATCTTCCATTCCCATACTCTGAAATTCCAATGACCGAATTCTCAAACATTGCAAGATTTATGAATAGCAATCCCAAAAATTCTAGGAAATGAGTCTTTTAAAGAGACCACTTTAGTTCAATGATCAAATCAGAATTCTATTTTGTTGTCGTTGCCCATCACACATCTCAAATCTGAAGCAAACTCAACCCCATTTGAAGATGATGGAGCAATGATATTACGCCATATCCAAGAGGAGTTTCGAGCATTGACTACTTTTGAGAAAATCGAATCCGAATCGTAATCATACTTTGCAACCACTGCCTTTTTCCATAAGCTATCATCTTCCTCAGTATAACGCTAAATCCATTTATTTAACATAGCTAGATTCCTAGTTTTAACATCAAATATACCCAAACCCCCATGCGACTTTGACTAGCAAATATTATTCCACTTAATCCAGGTTATGATTCTGCCCGACTTAGCTCCCCAGACAAAGTTCGCTATACACTTATTTAGCTTATTGGCTACCGAAACTGGAATAGGAAATAATAATATAAAATACACTGGTAAATTGATCAATATCGAACTAATCAAAGTAATTCTACCTCCAAAGGATAGAAGTTTTCCTTTCCAATTGTCTAATCGAGTCCTAACTTTATCCAGAATTAATTGCCATAAAGCCTTAGAATTTTATTTGTGACCTAACGGGACATCCAAATACGTCGTCATTCAAATTAAAGCCACCAAAAAGGCAAAGCTTATCATTGAGCATTTCTAATTCAAGTCCTTACAGTACATGCAACGAATTGAGGAAGCCGTCACCAGCACACAAATAACTAAATAAAATAAAAAGGTAATGACTCACCCATCGTTCACTACCTAAATTAAGGATGGATCGAGGATGGTGAATGGATAGTCGTCCCTCTGAAAAATTATTTCAATTGTTTCCACATAAAAAAATTATATTTAACACCTTCGTAACTAGCGTACCCTTACGATGATGGTAGATTTTTTAATGATAAATCAATCTTCCACCTAGAATGGAATCTTGAGAAAAACATTGATGAAAATTAAACAGAAATGGAAACTATACAGTTATTGCCTGGCTGCAAAGTTGTCTATGCCACAAGATTTGGTTTCATGGAATCCCTTTAGAAAATGCTACTTGATGCCTATCCAACTCTCGCACAAAGGCCTAACTCCTCCCTTTTCGATGGATAGATAGATAAGAAGGAAATGAGTCCACGCTATTAGACACCTTCAGTCTTCCTACAACTACAGTTCATGAACCCCCGAGGGAGACTTTGACCTTCTAAGACCTCCACTATCATCACATGTACATGAACGCACATAAGATTCTATATTAAATTTTTGAAATTTTATAATTAAAATATATTATTA